CAAGGGACACTTTGTTTGTTATCAAACGAATTACAAATCAAAATGTGATTAATAAATGAGTTTGTTGTGCAAAGTTGGCTGTTCTTGGGTCACCAATGGTCCATCGATTAATTATTTATTAGATTATGTAAAAGGATTATAAGTAGCTACCTGTGTACTGTAACTGTGTATAAGTATAACCATATTTATGGAGTCAAGATAACCAAATGTCTAAATCTATAGGACAAAAACCACTAACAATAATCAATGATAAAGCCATAAGTACCCAAATATTCTGGTGATGACTGCCTCGTTGGCCTAGTGGTTACAAGTACGACTGCCAGGCAAGGTATTTCGAGTTCGACTCCCGGGTCGGGCAAAGTTTTACTGGGTTTTTAAAATAAAATCTCAGTAGTAGCACATGGTCTGGAACTGCGCCCGGTATATGGCAATACGCTTATCTCCTATTACATGGGACTCTATAAATAGTGGAAAGTGGGTGTTACATTGTACGGTGGCATTACCTCTGCCTACCCTTTCGGGGATAAAATGCGTAATGTTAGATATGACGTTATCTATTCTGCAGTTGTAGCCAAATGTCATTTAGCGCTTGTCTACATGTAGAATAGAAAACCAAATTATATGGAATTGATGTAAATTTTGACACTTGTCAGTGTCATCCCCATACATTTAGTTTTCTGCTCTCTCTGTAGACAAACGCAAAAGTGGCGTTTGGCTAAAGGCACTGATTATAAAACGTCATATTAACTCGTCGAGTACCGTCATTATAGACACAATTATAGGACAATAAGTTGCGGTCACCGGTGACCGCTTGGTGTTTGACATTTTAAGTTAGTATTAAGTATTCTTAATAGTCCTTAGGGTAGGCCATGGCGCGTTGGACGTAAAATGACATTATGACCTAAACTGACAGATATTTCAATGTCAACAATAATGTCTATTATCTATATCTGTAGTGGCCGTGAAATTACTATAATTATACCACAAACCTCCCCCTGTCGGTGTTTAGAACTAAAACTACTATTATACTGGGTATATTTTTAGGGATATTTATTAGTTAAATATTCAAAAGTATCAAGTGTCAGGTGTTTAAGGCTTACGTCATTTCTTGATGTTATCAAGTTAAGATGTGAATTGTTAATTACATTGTAGTCTCAAAACATTTATATTATATTGTAACAAAACTATAAAACAATATTACAATATTAAATTGAGCTAACGGAAGTTTTCGTGAAAATAGCTTTAACATATAACTTTGAATGGTTACCAAAATGTAACAAAAAGGAAATCAGATTTATTACATTTTGCGAACTTTGACCCACGTTCCATAGTGATAGTAAATGGGTACCTAATTCATATCGTGACTTGTCAATAAAGCTATAAACTTTACATTTACATTGCAAAACATGCAATAATGAAATGAAATAGTATAAATAAATCATTGTGTACTTAGTCCTGATTGAACGCTTTATTACTTACAAATACTTTAGTTCCTGATTTCACATGAAAGTGATTTTATTTCATTCTTCTCATAGCACAATTCCATAACATAATAAAGTAATTTTAAAAGTCAAAGCATTTATTTCTATTAAACCAGACACTGGCAGTATAGTCGACAAGATTGTTTTGGAGACTCGTTTGCCAAAGAAGCGAAAAAAGAAAAAATCAATTTTTGGTACTTTTGAAACGTCAACAAATACAAAATAAATAATAGTCTGCCAGTCAGTCCGTCAGTGAAGTCAGGTGAAGCTAGGTGTTCATTCCAAAATGTAGTTAGATCCCAAAGAATTTGGGATCCAGCACATTCCCAAAAGATATCATTTCCTGTAGTCATTTGTCAAATACAGGGCTATCATCACACCGCTCTCGCTCGCTCGAGACACTTAGTTCCAGCAGAGCAGATTATCACAGACGAGTTCACTAGGGTTGATGCTTTATTGGGGCTGCGGAGAACTGTGATGGTTACTGGGCTTCGGCTCGAAGGAAGAGTTCTGGGTGAGGTGGGAAGGAATTGAATCTTAGTCAGGCATTCATTGTCATTGTCGAGTCATTTTCATTGGTGAGGAATCTATGGAGGATTTTCCCACCCTTAAAATTAAAATTAAAGTTTTCCTAGCAGTAGAGTAACGAAAGAAGTATACAGAGCGGATATGAATGGCCGTCGGTAGAGAGCACCCTAGACGGACATATAGTGACCAGATTGGCGATATATTAAAGAAGGGCCAAATTAAAAGTACCCTTAACCGACGAGCATGCATGAAAAGATTGATGACTGTTATTGAAGCGAAAGAGGTATGTAAGAATCGTAGTAATTGGCGTTCGTTAGTCTCTGCCTACCCCCATGGGAGACAGGCGTGAAGTTATGTATGTATGTATGTAGTTTTCCTAATGTCGAAGTCGAAATTTTAAAATACAACAAGCAACAAGCTATAACCAACCCGAAGGTTTAACCGCCTTCGTGTCCATGACATCCACCATTAGGATTAGTGAAAGTAATTGAATAATGCAAGCTGATTGGTCTCTATTGACGGCCATGTCACCAGGGCCGCGATACACAATATATGAGGGTCGCCGGTGACATTGAGCCTCTGCCATTAAGCGCACGAAACATTCACATGAGCTTGGACAGACAGGCCTAATTCCGATTCTTCCAATGTCATATAAATTCGCTGGTGTTTTCTATTTGATCTGTCTTTTTGTGTTCGTGAAATGTTGTGTTACAATAGTTTGAGGGTTCTGTGTTAATTTTGTCAAAAGCATCGTTTGTTTAACAAAAAGCTTGCCTCGTCCTTTTCTGACTTTCAAAAGTTTGTTTGTGATCTAATTGTCCTCTTTACTATTCGTGTTAAAATATATACGTAAACAGACAAACTTCCAAAATTGAACAGGAATGAAGATAGGATATTAAATTCGGAGAATGACTAATACCGACGAAAACATAGCCTATGTAAAATTGATCGTCAGTATGGATAGTATCCACATTGAGTCACAACTTATAGGCATCCTCCAAGCGCCCCACATTCATCATGATCTAAAAATATTTCCAGGACGACCTTAACATTATTTGTTTGTTAACAGTTTACCGTCAAAATGTTTACGTAAAATTACGATGTTGTTCGACATAGAGTAATTTAGTCGAGTCACAAATCTATCACCATTATGTAGGTGACTCCAGTAATTGCTGAGCCCTTGACCTTGTCTGCCGTGTCGGGGTATCATTTTATTTAAACTAATTAAAACGTCATAATATTTTATTTAAAGATAATTCGACACGCGACCGTTTAGCTTTTAGATATAATCTGATATGACGTGTGGTAAAGGATAATTGTTGATTTGAACTTTTTTATTTGTTTTCATGTTCTGCGATAATTGTGGAAATTACATAATATTTACTATGGTAATTACTCTATTGCGGAAGTCATATTTCCGATCACGGTAGAAAATCACCATGTGTTAATCAATTAATGCATTTGATTCGTGTTTTAGAATCCATAAATAGTCCGTTTAAATAGCTTTCATTATTGTCATTTCAATAAAAAAAAAATATTAACACAAGTAAATGTGTTCTATTTCCTAGGAAATACTTGAAAAGTTGTCTTCTTTTTTAATAGCTATCGCATTGTTTCTACCAGAGTATCTGTATTCACAATTATAGGTAACTACAGCATGCGTATAGCTTTTTTAACTCGTCGAGTACCGGTTTTGTAGACACAATTATAGAACAATAGGTTGCGGTCACCGGTGACCGCTTGGTGTTTGACAGTTTAATTCGTCTGCATTGAAACTGTCTATATTATTCAGTTTAAGAAGCTATACCATATAGGTAGTGCTAAATTATCCCAAAAAAAATTAAGTCATTATAACATATTCCCTAATAACACGTAATACAAGTCGATCCACTTATGTTGTCGCGTCATACAATAATACCAGGTACTGATTAGATATGCATCCATTAAATAGCATTATAGGAAAGTCCAGATTACAGTGCTTGGGCCGTGTGAATGTTTTCCACCAGTGTACAACAATGTGTAAGTCATAAGGTTACAGCGATTTCTCATTAGCGATTACCGATTGTTACGCTAATTTTGTACTCATCAATGTGGACCTATGGAAAAACACCCGTTAACTTGTAGTTTTTACTAAAAATGATTTTAAAATTACTTAGGAACAACTAAAATATATTGGATTTACGATTTCTGAAGGACAGCTAAATCTGCTGTAAGAAATAAAGTAAACGAGTCCTAGAGTCTGGATAACCTTCGACCTACATTCTTCAATGACGAACGTCTAAATACTTTAATAATTCTAAGATTATCTCGTACTTCACAATCATTAAAACGAGCGTTTTCTCAACCCGCTACCGCTTATCCTCTGTACCATACCCAGTCTTAAATTCTTAACAGTGATAGTCTCCGATCGAATGCGACAGCCCTGTCATTAGCTAAAACTGTCTTCAATGTAGATAGGTACCTGAAATTATCAGTTATTAGTTTCAGTAGGACAGACAGTTTTCAAGTAGAAACTGATGAATTATTGAACACTTTGTCCTACAATTTGTGTTTCTTAACGAAAATTATTTTAACTGACTTCAAAGAATAGATATGTGGGATTTGTTGTTTGATGGTATATTTACATTATTAATTTGCAATAGTATGTTGTTCAGTTGTCCTTCGGTTTGGTTGTAGTGAATTGTAAATAATAAATTTTCTTTGAAATTATTTGCTATTTCTATTTAGGGGTTGTTTGTGTGTGTGCGCAATATTGTATTAAAATATACTTATTGCAAGTTATGATGAGGAGTACTAAAAAATGCAACAGATGAAAACAAGATGTCAGGGCATCGGAATCTGAACAGAGAACTTTTTAATGATCAAGATTTTGCATGATGGGTGTGGGACTAGGTGTGGAACGGTTTCAGTAGACTCGCTAGCTATTAAAGTAGCAAATAATGATTAGAAGTTACTTTGGCTAAATATATAAATGTTTTTATTTTGTTACAGGTCTTTGGTGTGTCATTGTTAACATGTCTGCGCTCAACAAATATGTTGGTCAGAATGGATCGTTGCTCCGCGCTGTCACCGTCCACGCCTAGCAGCCGAGGCATGGACAAGTACGAGCAGTTGGCAGTGGTCAGTTCATATTTGATGCACCTACAACATCATCATCATCTTTATTATCTACTTCTTTATCTGTCTTGTCTGGTTCCTCTCCTGCTAGACTTACTCGCAGTGCAGGAGTTAAAACGGGATGGGTTATAGTCAGTAAGAGTCTGACACTCCCTCCTGTCTCACTTGTGAGGAGAAGTCTTATACTGATTGTCCACCCAACCAAAAAAGGTCTTTTCAATAGCACGCTACTAAACTTGGTCTTCAGCTCTTTACATACAACTCCAAGATATGAGAATGAAACTTTCTTGACAAAAGAACATGACTACACGAATATAGTTAAAATTAACGATGATTAAAATGAATCACTTATTCCATGCTATAATACAAAAAGTATAAATTAAAAACTGAAATTTGTATTTACGTTACTTAACAAAGTTTCTGTAATTTTATATTTAAGTACGAAGTAAATATTTCGGTAAAGCAGTGAGTCTCAGAAACGTCAGTATCAGTCGGTGTCAGGCCCAACTTATAAGAATGCTGCGCTATTCTGTAATCGCCCGAAATACTTGCAATCATATTAATTTCGTTGACATTTCTATTTTTGTAATCATACCATTATTTTATCGAAGTAATGGCGCTGGTTATTTTTATAAGAAAGCGATCATTTGTCTTGTTACGACATCGGTTGCGTGAATTTGTTATCTAAAGTAAGACTCAAATAGATAGAGACTTATAGACACCCAACGCCTATTTTCGTAAGACGTTTCCTAGTTTTTAGACAGTCGTTATATGTTGTAAATCTTTATCCTCTGATCCTCTAAGAAACAGAAAATGACATCAATATAATTAGATACATAATGTACTTGAACTTCCGGATATATTTCGAAAATATTCAGGAGAAACTTCATTTAGGTAAGCTAATAACTATGAAATTCTGTTTGCTATATTGGTACAAAAGTAAGAGAGAACTGTTGTCAGGTTGGCGAAGGCTCGTACGGCGTGGTGCTGAAATGCCGACGCCGGGACACGGGCCAGCTCGTCGCCATCAAGAAATTTTTGGAGACTGAAGAAGATGCCGCCGTCCGAAAAATGGCGCTCAGGGAGATTCGGATGCTCAAAGTAATTCACATTATTAATACCACAATAAAAAACGGAATATAGTTTGAGTTTCTAAAGACTATTTTTCTTGTAAGTAATTTATATTATTCTAAGGGCCAATCATCACTGTAGTTGATTCTTAACTTAGAATAAAATTGGCATTAAAATATTCAAACAAATATTCAAACTTATTCCTTAGTAAAATTTATCTGGCGTTGGCTAAATTTACTGTAAGAAGACACAAACATTTTCGGGAATACTTACTGATTGAGAATCTACTTTTTCTACTGATAAAATTATATCATCGATTCCAGAAACTCCGTCACGACCACTTGGTGAACATGATAGAAGTGTTCCGCCGCAAGAGACGCTTCTACCTGGTGTTCGAGTACCTCGACCATACACTGCTGGACGAGCTGGAGGCGGCTCCGGGTGGACTGGGCGAGGACACTGCCAAGAAACACCTGTACCAACTCCTGAAGGGCATTGACTACTGTCACCAAAATTCTGTGAGTGTTTATTATGTGTCATTTTTAAGTGGAAGATCAGTTAATGTTTGAAAACAATTTTCAATTTGTTGTAAGGTCGTTGTATAAAATGAATTCAGAATACGTACAATGTTCAATTTTGTACCTATTACCCAAAAGACATTGAAGTTTTAAGGAGGTTTCAAAGTGAAGAAAAGGTACTCAGGTCTTGCAATTTTCCACTTCTCCAGATAATCCATCGTGACGTGAAACCAGAAAACGTCCTAGTATCAAACGCGGGTATAGTGAAGCTGTGTGACCTTGGGTTCGCGCGCGCCCTGGCAGCGCCCGGCGAGCCCTACACGGAGTACGTCGCTACGAGATGGTACCGTGCTCCTGAACTACTCGTGGCAGAGCATAGGTAAGTGCAGTTGTTCTTCCATTCTTCACAATGTCAGTTTTGTATAGAATCTACAAATTCAGAGGAGAGTGTAACATCGAATGAATGACTTTTAAAACAGGCCAACTCAAGATTCAAGAATATTGTTGTTTTAGGTATGGTCCCGAGGTGGATATTTGGGCAATCGGTTGCCTGTTCGCGGAGATGTTGACAGGTGACCCGCTGTTCCCTGGAGACTCCGACATCGACCAGCTCGCGCTTATTATTAAAACTGTCGGTGAGTTTATGGAAATTGTCATTTTCATTATATGAACTCATGTTACTCAGGTTCTTTGTCTCATAAGGGTGGATGGGAACAACAAAGTATCATGAAATATAATCTACACTCTCTTCACATCACATGGGACTCGTAACATGGGTGTTATATAGTTCATGTGGACTCTCTGTTCTATTGAATCCCCAAATAGGCGTGAACCTTTTCTATAAGTTTGCCAACCTTCCCCAGGTAAACTAGCCCCCCGACACCAGCAAGTAGTATCCCGGCTGGCCGGCGGCGCCGCGCTGTCGTCGTCCGGCGCGGCAGGTCGCGGCCTGCTGCCGGGCGCGGGCGCGGCGCGCGACTTACTGGCCGCGTGTCTGCGGACCGAGCCCAGGGCCAGGCCCGCCGCACAGGCACTGCTTAGACATAAGTATGTTATATAATCTAACTTAACTTAGTTGCAGCTTGAAAGATAATAATTTTCGACTATACCAATTAGAGCTCTTTTAGATCGATCTTGATTTGACTTCTCTGATGTTGCGGGTGTTCATGGGCGGCGCTGATTGCTTACCATCAGGTGATCCGTCTGCTCGTTTGTCTCCTATTCTATAAAAAAATATTGAAATTTAAGTTTCAAAAAGGTCCCGATCCTCAAAAACTCCTATGATAACTGTTCAATTATATATAGATATTTTCAAATCCGTCTATTACATTTGGAGTCTATTCTATGCAAAAAAACAAGCAATCAGGAACATCATGATATAACCTCCCTCCTCGTTATAATAAATTGCCTATTATTTATTATTCTCTTCTTGTTTTTTCAGATACTTCATTGCAGACAATTTTGTAGAGAATTTCAACGCTGAACTGAGGAAGAAACTGGGAAAAGAGATTGATGTAAGTAGATATGATGTTAATAAATTGGTTCCTACACCGCTTGATAACTTAATGATAAGTTCATAAAAATGATATAACTTAATGGTCACAAAATTTTAAACAGATTAATATAATATTATGAATAGTTTAGAACTTATGGTACCTAATTCTAACTTAACACTGGGTGGATAACAGATCAGTTATTTTTTTCTTTTTATTTTACTTTTTGTTTGTCATCAGTTTTTGGTTTTTTGAAGCTTATAAACGCAGTTTTTTTATTATTATTTTTTATAATTGTCAGTTAATGAGCCGATAGTTATAATGAAATCCCCTTTGTCCAGGCTCCACCGTCGCAACAGAGCACGGCGCGAGTTGCAGGCAAGCCGCGACAACAATGGACGCTCAACATTATACCGGTAACTGTCCGGTATATACCTCCCTACACTATGTAACATATAACTAATACCTATAAGCTCATTACCATCGCCTAGTGCGTCTCGTAGATGTTCACCTCGTAGCAATAGACGTGTAGTTTCATTTTCTAGGTACATAATATTTTTATAATATACTAGCTAACCCGGCAAACTTCGAACCGCCTTAAATTTTTTCTTACCTTTTTAACCTTTTCTGGCTTTCCACGAACATTTCAAGATAATTTAGACAAATCGGTTCAGCCGTTCTCGAATTTTAGCGAGACTAACGAATGGTAAGTGTGGGAGAGCCATGCTTCGGCACGAATGGGCCGGCTCGACCGGAGTGATACCACGGCCGAGCAGAAACCCGACGTGAAGCAACGCTTGCGTTGTGTTTCGTCGTGTGAGTGAGGTCACCGGAGGCCCAATTGCCCTCCCCTTCCCCAATCTCACCAATCCGTGAATCCCCATCGATCATCAAACTCCTAATCCCCGAAAAGCCGGTAACGCACTTGTAACGCCTCTGGTGTTCCAGGTGTCCATGGGCGACGCCGATTGCTTACCATCAGGTGATCCGTCTGCTCGTTTACCGGCTTATAATATAAAAAAATGGTAATTCATTGTTTTATATAGATGAATTTCCGTTCGACAGTCTCGCTAAAAGTTGTCTTGCAATGTTCGTGGAAGGCCAGACAAGGTTTAAAAAAATAGATTTGATGTGCCGACGTTTGGCCCCTATCTCGCCTGGTGGTAAATGTATACGCAAATATTTTTTTACCAATAACTTTATTAATACAGCTTTATTCTTAGTATTTCTAACTAAATGTAACTAAAACAGCGAATAGAAAAGATAAGAAAAAACTAAATTCCGTCAGTTAGGCGTCAAAGAATTCGTCCGCATCACTTTCATTGGGGAACGTGCCCAGAATACTGGCAGCATAGTCACGTTGTATGGCAATACTTTTTTAAATATTGTGTCTATTTTGCTTCAAGAGGTACTTAGATTATGTAGAAGGATTGGATGTAAAGTATCTTTCTTTTTTGCTTTGTTTGCAGGACCAAAGCAGGTCGCGGACGGACAGTACGGCGGGCGAATCGCTCATTGACTACCATTACACTCCCAGTATGTATATTTGTTTTTAATGTTACTTATTAATTCTCCACGGATTTTAGTTAGTGCCCTTGTCATACAATTTTTTATTACAATACGTCTAATCAATATTAATAAAGTAAAGAAATTACCTAGTTACATACTACAATTAACCACATCAGAACTATTACTAAAAGTATAAATTACATAATAAATAGCTATTATCCAATTATATTTATTTCGACGGCTCTACGAAATCAGCCCACCAACAAGATGGGAGAGCCGACCCACCAGAAGGCACTCGTTCACGAGTATGACGTGTGTGTCAGCAATAGGGTAGTTTCCTAAATTTTATTTTAATGTCCACCTAATACATTAATTTAAAACATAAGACACATATTTTTTCCTTTCTCATAAAATTGTATACTTTTGACGATACCTATATTAATTTGAAATATCGTGTGACGTCACAGCGTGCCACATTTTGTAGCACGTTATGACGTAACGACCTCCCACTCCTAAACTTAGCGCCATTTTATCTAAGTATTGCGAGAAAATAAAAAAATACATTTCTAATAATTTTTCATTATCTAACCGACGGACTAATTAGATTTTCAATGTTGATACCCTGGAAACTACCCAATTGGTCCGCTCAACCTTTTTATTGGGAACGGAACAACCCAACACACAGTGCCACCGACTGTAGGTCATTTATGTGTGCATGACGCCTCAACCCTTGCCACGTTGGCCGATTCTAACAGAGCTTACAATAGTCCAAAAGTTAATTGGTTATTTAATAGTACATATATTATGTGCCATACATGTAGAACACTGAATTAAAAGAATGAAAGTTTCTTTACTACTTTTGTTCTATATTCGTGCAATGTGTTGGTACAGAATTTTTTCTTATTAAAAATAATATTGTTTTTAGAATAATATAGAACTCTGCCCGGTATATGCCAATAGGCTCACCCCCCTATTATATGGGAATCATAACATAAATAGTGAAACGTGAGTAACATTGTACAGTCGCATTAAGTGCCGTAATGTGTCACCTCTACCTACTCCTTCGGGGATAAAAAGGCCCGATGATGTTATATATGTTTACGTTTTAGATACAGAAGTCCAAATGGAGACAGGTCCGATTGATAAGAAACCGCTTCGCGGACTCTGCGAAACTGCGCATGAAACGACACACTCAGACGTAAGTGACAATTTTACTATGTTAGTTACATGGTATTGAACAATGATCCACAAATTGTTGTTCCGGGTCTGGATGTCATGTGTATGTGAACTTGTATGTTTGTAAGAGCACCCACGACATACGAGAAAATCCTGTGGGGCAACGTTAAAAAAAAACAAGAAATAGATAAGGATAAACGAAAAACATCGCGACCATTATTTCCTAAAGTGGTATGCTAATGTATGGGATTCGTTGGAAAATGTTCCAGTAAAACATTCGTTGAACATGGAAGTTATGGAGACAGGTTATCTACGTTATTTGACTTATTCTTAAGGAAGGTTTATGTGTATAACTAGCTGACCCGGCAAACGTTGTTTTGCCATATACAGTGAAACTTGGTTAAGTGGGACCTGGATAAGTGAGAAACCTCCATAACTGGAACTCATGCTGAGGTCCCAACACTTTGGCAATGAATTACCTCTGTTAGTGGGACGAGGTAAACCTCTATATCTGGGATTTGTTCTTTCGATTTATCATCATAGTTACCTCTATAACTGAGACAGCTAGTAAATTTTATATGCATAAACCTCTGTAACTGAGATAACATTGTTTGTTTACTCATTCTTATTCTACCCACAAATTCCACACGTAATTCCAAGTCCACCTCTATTAATCGAACCCTCTGTAAATGAGACAGATATTTATTTATACCTGTATATCTGAGACACTGGGTAAGTGGAATACCTCTATAAGTGAAACGACATTGCAGGTCCCTTGATGTCTCACTTAACCAGGTTTCACTGTAAATAATTTCGTAGAAGAGTGAAAATTGAGGATTCTATGTATTTTTGTATTTTGTATCATAATAAAATAGAAATTAAAAATGTTGTCAAAAAAATAATAAATAAAAATTAGGGGTGGACTACCCCTAACATTTAGGGGGATAAAAAATACTTAGATGTTGGCTGATTCTCATAGATACTGGATAAGCACAAAAAATGTCATCAAAATCGGTCAAGCCGTTTCGGACGAGTATGGCAACGAAAACTGTGATACGAGAATTTTATATATTAGATATATGCATATTGCACCCATGCGAAACCGGGGCGGGTCACTAGTATGCAATAAGATAATAATTACTGTATGTCTGTAGCACGGTGGACAACCGGGAGTGACGGCGCTGCCCCCCGCGTCCCGGCCCGCGCCGCCACGCTCACTCGCCCGGGCCATCAACGACACGTTCCAAGTAAAACACCATCATTATTTTTATGTTTGAGACATACTAATTTAAATATTATGTTTTCGGCTTACTCACCATGAATATGAGCCTCTAGAATGGCTTGAAACTAGTCGAGTTCCTCTTTAAACAGTTGCGTGATTAAGCAACTGATTAAGGAGGAACTCGATTTCGAACTTAATTTCGTCAACGTTTTTTTTCTAAAATAAAAGTAGCCTATGTTATTCCATAATACATTAGTTACCTACCAATAAAAGTCCCGTCAAAATCCGTCTAGCCATTTCAGAGATTAGCCAGTACAAACATACAGACAGACAAACAGACAAACAATTTAAAAAGTTTTACTTTATGTATGTGTATCGTATAGGTACATAGTATTGAAAATACGCATGCATATGCATGTAGTAAAAAGCTGTTATTTCATTATTACAAACAGACACTTCAATTTTGTGTATCTGTATAGATTAGTAAGCGTGTTTTATCCATACTTCAACCCCATCACTTTACTATGCGTTAATTGCTATATCTTCGATAGACAGTTTATTGGTATTCTCGAACATTTCCACACTTTTTTATTAATGCAGGCAACGTGCATTATACGAATGAATAAATGGTATTTGGAACTATGTTGCAGACATTCCCTGTGCCAGTCAACACGTACCCGAGAACACCATACATCAAGAAGTAAGTTGTACAAGATCAAATAGAACATTCTAGCTGATGTATGTTTGCTGTCTCATCATCCTGCGTTTTATTATCACCAAACATACTAGGAAAGCAATACGCAAAGAGGCAAATGCCATTTCAGTAGAAATTATTTGATTTCAAGATGTTTTCTAAGTGTGGGATTCATTCATGCATGACGCTTCGTTACGAATAGGCCGCGGCTCGACCGGAGTGATACTACGGCTGAGTAGAAACTGACGTGAAACAACGCTTAAGTTTTCTTTCGTCGTGTAAGTGAGGTTACTGGATACCCAATTATCCCCCTGCCAAATCTTTCCAATCCCTAAATCCCCAACAATCCTAATATTCCTAATACCCCAAAAATCAGGTGACCCGTCAGATCGTTTACCTGTTTGTTTCATAAAAAAAATTATAACTCTCTCGATGGGTACTATCTCACCTTTATGACAAATATTCACAAATTTCTCAATCCTTTAAAATAACCTTATATTATCCTCTAGGGTGAACAACAAGTTAGTAATGGACGAGGAGCTCCTCCGAGGCCGTGCGGCCGCGAAGAAGGGCAGCAAGAAGACCGCGCCCGAACTGTCCCTACCTTACATGCCGGGGGGTAAGCAGTGTAACAGGACTGGAGGGAACAGAGGTACGTGTGATTTACCATAATCACTACATAGAATAAAACAAAGTCGCTATCCGCCGTCTGTCTGTCCCTATGTATGCTTAGATCGTTGAAACTACGCAACGGATTTTGATGCGGTCTTTTGTAATAGATAGAATGATTCTTAAGGAAAGTTTATATGTACAATACATGCGTATTGTACCCGTGCGAAGCTGGAGCGGGTCGCTAGTAATATATAATACCAACTACAGATTTCTCCTAGTAATAGTATCCTCGAAGTATAAACTACAATACAGTAACTCATACTTCACTCAACATTCATTATTTCATGATTTTGTATCATTTTGGGTGTCAGGAGGTCCTGCCAATGCATTTACGATCGGTGTTTCTAGAAGATATAATACGATTCCTTTGAAATTAATAACCGATTTGAATCTAAAACTTATGGAACCATTTTGGTTGGCTTTTGAAAGAGCTTTAGTCAAAACAAGCCGAATGTCGTCGGTAGTGTAATGTAAATGTAGTCGAATGGAGCTTCCATTCGACTAATATGCCAAAAATTTATCGTAATCCAATGATTATCGGTTAAGATCGTGAAAGGCTTTAACTTGCAAATCACTTTAGAGAAGTATTTTACTTTCTGAACTTTCCAGCATCGAACAGTCCAGTGAAGAAAGCAAAGAAGCCGCTCCCCGCGTACCAGACCATGTCCAAAGCATACGACAACTGGGACGGTGTTGTGAGTTAAAACTTTTTGTCACTTTGCTAATTTGTAATAGACATAACATAACATCACGCCTGTCTTCCCCGAAGGACATTACGGCACTTAATGCCACTTTACAATGTAACACCCAATTTTCACGATTTATGTTATGAGTCCCATGTAATAGGGGGTGAGCCTATTGCCATAAACCGGGCACTATTCCAGACTCCGTGCTACTACTGGGATTTTTAAAACCCCAGTAATAATTTTCCCGACCCGGGAATCGAACCCGAGACCCCTTGCTCGGCAGTTGCACTTGCGACCACTCGGCCAATGAGGCAGTCAGGCAGACTTTTGTAATAGATTAGCTTATAGCTATATAAGTAGATAACTTCGGGAAAAATTGTTTCTAAATCTTATAATAACTTACATCAGACATATTCAATTGAGATGATGACGGCGTACGAAAATTCAAAATCCGTAAGTTAGGTAATGAAAAAATGTTAGACACGTATTTTTTTATTTTGTTGTACACTAAAATAGTACCTAGATAAAACGAATCAAAGTTTAGGAGTGGGGGCTAAAACGTCATTACTATGTATAAAATGTACATAGAAGTGACGTCACGCGACATTTCAAATCAATACATCGTGGAAACTATTTGTTTCTGTAAGAAAATAAAAAATATGTGTCTAGTGTTTTAAAGCAATCTACCAGACGGACATTAAAATAAAAATTATGTATCTACCTACTCTATTAGATAATTCACTTATTTAAACACTTTTTTCCGAGAACGCTCAACTAGTTTCGAGTAGTCGGAGCCTAATACATTGTACACATACATACAACGAACATTTTCTATTATTGTCATGTTTCTTTGCTACAATAGCTTGTTTTCTTGCTACACAGCGTAGCGGTATGGAGCTGACGTCGTCCAGATCACCGACAAACCTTCCCTATATGTGACTGTACCGCAGCTACTGGTGGCCGAGCCATCGGTAACTAATTATACATAAAGACTGCTATTATATCTGTGCGAAATAACGTTACCAACATTTAAATCAATTGTGTACAGGATGTAGAATTATCTAACTATAGTTTACTCTCATTTCCTAATTCATTTATTCGATTGTTAATCGACTAGGAATTTTGGTTGTCGATTTTTTTTAAATTTCAGCTTGAATCTCATGTATCGATAAAATCATAATTACACAATCGTGAGTCTATGAATACATGAACGGTAAGATTTTCTCATAAATTTTATTATTATTTATTTTTCTAAAATCAATGAGTTTAATAAAGAGTACCTAATCGATTAACTGAAGTTCCTAATCGACTGATTAATCGATTTCACTAATTATAATATTGTTTAGCTATAAAATGGGACTATATTTTATTAGATGACTGTTTCTGTTAATTTAAATTTGTTTAAATAACAGTTGATTGGTTAACTCAAGATATTGTCACATATAGACATGCCAAAGGGATTTTTAGAGAATAGAATTTTGTTATTTTGACGAGTTTAGCTGCCATAGAGAGCGGCGGCCGGGAACGTTGTTTGTAAATATGTATAGTGTTACATTTTATTACACGCAATATTATTAATAAACACTTTATTAAAATACGTGCTTTTTATTGACAAAATAATTTTTTCTCTTTGTGAATAACTGTGTAGGATCCTCAGTCATTACTACTTATGTTTCGACTTTACAGTAGTGAAATGTTCAAGACTGATCAGAATCAGTCATTGGTATCGATCTACTTTTTATATTAATCTAACGCAAATGAAAATGTGTTTCATTGATATCATACTTCCTGAGGAACACCCGCTGTTTGGTTAATAGATACTTGTGTTGTTGCGTACTTGAACACATCACTCGCATACAACCGCCCTCAGTTGTATAACCTAAGTTTAGGTTTTTTTAATGGGGGAAAATCATCGAATGACTGCTCCCGCCTGGGTGAGGCGGGAGGGAGTGTCAGACTCTTACTGACTAAAAACCACCCCGTTCCTTCTCCTGCACTCCTCTCGAGCCGGAGCCCCCGGTTACCCGTTAGATTCTCCGCGACAAGTTTAGGTAAATGAAATAAAAGACGTAAAATATTTTTCAATAATTATAATATTTATTCTAGTTGGCAGTTAATGACTATAGTATAATAATATCATAGACGTACGTCACCTATGAACGATACAAATGGCATACAAAATTGCTAAAAATAAACAGCTTATCATGAAGGCTCCGATTCTGTACTGAAGTAACTTTGGCTTAATTTATCAGAATCAGGACTTTATTATACGAAAATATACTGAGCTTATGTTACAACTTTAGGCAAAAGTGCAACTTGCAACTTACTGCAACTTCTGACTGATTAGATGCACGCAGGAATATATTTAAGCTATTATTTTTGTGATGCGAAATGAGACAGTGCTATGTACATAGTGCCTTATTTCTATCTTTTACTAAAGGTAGAAACATATTTACGAGTCTTGGCGTCGTAACCATCAATCTAGCCCAATCGGCCACAAGAATTTGGCGATACGACATGCAAGTATGTCTCGAACCACAATACTCTTATATGAAACTGATCACACACCACAATACGTAAGTTATATGTTTCCACCTTAAGAAAGTTGTATTAAGCTTCAATATATTTTCGTTTCAAAGCAGTAATACTGAAGCGCTATATGTTCGAAGGACTGGTAAATATCACATTAGCCTACACAACAACTAACTTACAATTTTGTTCATTAATTAGTTACTGCTAACGAAATGCACAATGTTTTTTTAAATATTAGACTTTTCCAACTATCGAGATCAACTTAATAATAACAATATACGAGAGTAATTTCATAATTAGCACCAATATTAATTCACTTCACAGTGACACAAAAGCTTTTTAGAATCCATTAAGAATTTGGTTTGCATTTTCTCTGCTCAAAATGTCATTTTATATGCTTGGAATGTAGCACATTATGTGATAACTGTGAATGTGCGACGGTATTTACAAATGTTGATGATGACACGCTCTTAGTATTCACAATATAGGATATATGATAACTGGACTGCTTAGAGCATCTAAAGTACAATATAATAGGTATTCGACTCATGTATAAGACTTGACACCGTTGCCATACCATAAGGCACTATTTGCTTCAAAATATAACAAGTGCAGCTACATGTTGTCTCAATATATTTACAAAGAATATTTACATTCGACATTACTGTTTTATACAAGGCACTCGTTCATGGACTTGCTTAAATTTAATAGTAGGTTTCATCAAGACCACGTGCATTTTATAATGCCCTTTTACAAAACAACGGCAACAGTGCAAGCATTAAATAGTTTCAAGCTTATGAGCTTAGTGTACAGAAGCACGTCAACCTATACCATCCCGTCACAAACAATACATTACCAACTTTATCACCTTTGTGGTAAAGTCGAAAATCTACTAGGTTTGACAGTTTGATGTCTGGCTGTGTCTGTACAAGACCGCGTGACGTCCATTTGTCCATGTGTTCAAGATGGCGGGGCGGTCAATATGTCGGGCGTCTGTTGCGGCGGACACGCGGTGATCAGGAGCTCGCCACCGCTCTCAGTGATCGGAACCGTCTTGTGGTAGTTTATGAGATCAGCTAGAAATTGCATTGAGAACAAATTAATCTTTAAAGGACGAAAAAGAACTGATAGCCTAGAATGGAGGTTAGTCAGAAGTTCAAAACACTGATGACGAATTGGACTAAACTAAGGTTAGATTGGTCGTCAGTTCCTCCATATTAAAGCCGAAGATTAGGTTCAGAGTTCAAAAAGAAGAGTTTTTAGCCATCGCTAGCCATTAGTAGAAATAATTTAATAGCATTGTCACTGTGACTAGTAGGTAACATACCAAGCGTATCATGCGCGACTTGTCCAGTAGGCAGCAGCCTGTACGCGCGCGCCGCCTCGACGAGGTAGTGCTTGCAGCGCGCGGTGTCGCGGTATGTCACCGCGTAGCCCCACACTCGCTCCGACACACGCACTAGGAAGCTCCCTGCAGGACAACCTGATAGAGCTGCTTCTGCCTCCGACCGGCTGATCAGACCTAAAATTTTAATTTAATAAAGTCAATCAAACGGAAGAAGAATGAGTACTGATTTCATGATCAGTTTTCAAACCTTCTTCAAGCACACGAACAATTGTACAAGGCCAAGTATGCTCACTACACGATACGTGCGATGTTGTTTTACAGTATGTTAGTGGTGTCGAAAAATTTCCCAACCCACTTCAATTTTAAACTCAATAGTGAAAGTCCTTACCGTGGAACCAATCAACTGGTTCATTGTTCTCGTCAAATCCAACACCTCTCTTCAGTTCGTGTGTCTGGAACCACTCCAGAACTGCTTCCCTGTTGGGTGGTTTGCCCGCTGCAATAAAATATCAAACAATAATTATATTTCTTTCTTGTAAGAAAAAAAGGTTATCGGCTAAAGGTTTTACACTTGCGAATTTGCCACAAAATAGTAAAGTTGTTTTACCTTGTGTTGTGTCTGGCGGTGCTTCAAGGTGTGCACTCCGCCGGTGTGCCTCTCTGGCTGCGCGCGCTATCTCTCGCATACTTGCTTCTGCTTCCTTTGCTTTACGCTCTACAACATCATGCAACCACCCTTAAGACTGGGAACCTCTTTGAACTTGTCTAAAACATCTTACTAGACTGCAAGTCTCACGTCTAATGAAGAATTTAGCTATACATACCCTGGTCGCGCCAGGCTGCATCATGTGTCTGGGCTGCATGGTGTGCCAGCCTCATAGCCCGGGCTCGCTTGGCCCTGATCCCGCGCAGTATGTCCCCGGCCCTGGCAGCCGCCACACGCCTCTCCCAGGCTGCGACCAGCACACTAACGCCATCGCCACCAGCTCCCACACCCATGTCCTGGACATATAGTGGTGTCTTTGGAGACTTACGAAAAGACCACGTGGAAATAAATTAGAAAGCATTTGTCTAAAAGTTTAGAAGATAGATAGAAAACTATCAGAGATTGTAAATCAAGCGACATAGCAAAGCCAAATCCGTACAGCAATGCACAACAAATGCTTTTCACTCTATTTTGGCCAGACACACTAATCTTATATCTGGTTAACTATTTTGTTTCAAAACAATTTTTAACCCAATAGGAAGTATCTAAGCATATACGAAGCATCTTCCACGTTGCGATTTAGTGTGTTTCCAAATAACAAATGAACTGATTTCATGATTTTAAAATGGAAGCTGTATTGAAGGATAGTGAACATTAAAACGACAAAACTTAAAAATACGACTTTAATTAAAATAATATTTCTATAAAATACAAGGCTTGCTTATTCTTAAATTATATAATTAAGTACAAGAGAATGTTTACAGTGCTTCTCATCCGAACCTAACTAAAGATTATAATGGAATTGCTTTATAAAACATATAGGCAAAGTGGCAACTAGAGATGAAAGAAGAAATAAAAAAGTACAAATGTAGACTACCAAACTTCTTTAATCAGATACGACAAGACAGGACACACTTGAGACATGCAGAAGCAAAATTCTAAAACTACTAGTATTTACACACAAACTATAGTCAAAAAGTGAGAGAAAGGACTACACACTAAAGATTCTGGCCTTCAACTGACCTGCAGTACATCTCTCTTGCCCTCGATAAAATTAAAGTGAAGCGTGTTCTTATTGAGATCGAGTTTCAAGGCGTCATTGAAGTCAGGTTTGTCCAGGTCGTCCTGCTCCAGCTTGACATCAGGTTCCAGCGCCTCGATTCTCTGTCGCAGCTCGTCCACTGTGCAGTATATCTCCAACGTGTCTTCTAAAGGGTCTATCGTTTTCGGGGATAGATCGAATTTCTGAAACATTTTTGAACAATTGTTGTAGTAGGGGTAAAATAATCAAGGCATCTGTTAATAAATAATTTAAATCCAAGCTACATGAACTAATACTATAGAAAAAATAATTAAAACTAAATATTATAGGAATAGACATTTAAGGAATCAAGAATAAATATTGTTAAAGTTTGATAAGAAATAAACTCTTTGTTGATTTTCATGACTTTAACTCGCAATGTTTTTGAGTCCCTCTACAGATTTATTTTATAGTTTTGATCTGTAAATTTTATAGTTCCAATAACTGTAAAGTGCAGTCCCTACAGTCAAAAATTCCCTTTTTATCAAAATGTTTCCTTTAGTTATAAATACTTGTTTAGTCATTACAATTGGTAGCCTTACCTGTTCTAAATCATCGAGCGGTTTGTATTCGATGAGTTGCGTGAGTTCCTTCTCGACGGACTTCCTGAGTTGCTGTACCTCCTGCCGCGCCTGCGCAATCGCCTTCTCTCGAGCCTCCTCAGCCAGGATCGTCTCTATTGACTTGTCGTCAGGGTGCTCTCCCATCACCCACACCTGAAACATCACAATTTACTGTTCAGACATCATAATTTATCAAGAGACATTTGTCACTCATAAATAATCTAAACACTGCCTCAATATAATTAAGCATCCGACACCAATTAAAATAAGTAAATTTTTTACAGTCAATAAATCAATTAACAAAACGAAGTTAATGATGACTGATTACTCATCAATCAATAGTTTGGGTATTGTTTGAAAAGGTCAAATGTTTGACCAAACAATGGATGAAACCTTCGAATAATATTGAAGTCAAATCCATTTGAAGGCTGACTGTATTCTGTCGATTAAGCCGGATGTAAATTATATATCCAATTGCTATTGTATCGTTATTCACAATCTAAGTTTATAATTCTATCTAGCCTTCGTTACTTATAATATTTCTATTATATTGAATTGATTCAGCGTTATAGTATTATATTTCTATAACACGCCTTCCTTTATATTCATATGTTATGTCGTCTATATTTTCAATATCACGACGATTATTGATGTCTTGTGAACCTTCATCTTATTACGACAAAACAAATTTTTCTTCATCAGGTTTAATCACCACTTCACACTTACTCTCTCTTGCAAATAATAGTAAGTATTGTATCCTCACCCATGGCTCTCCGTCCTCTCCCGTAAGGAACTGCACCTGCTTCTTGCCATTCTTCTGGAATTTTGGTCTCTCATCTTCCTCGCCGACCTTCTCGTCCCAGAGTTGCCAGCGACGGACCTGGAAAATGAAAACAAGGTTTTATATAAAAAAAAACAACCTCTTTGATATAGTGTCGTTTTGCATCATCAGTAACAGTTTCATCCCAAAGGTTTTTAGCGCTGTACTATGCAATGTGCCATAAACAATTTCCCTAGATAACAATCTGCAGAACAAATGTTTGGCTAACTGGATGGGTTAGTTTAACCCCAACAATCGCATTGTAACCGGTAACGTTAACTTGTTGTTAGATAATCTATGGCGTCACGAATCGCCCGCCATTACGGGAGCTGGACAAAAAGCGACCTTGTGCTAAATTGAAAGTAACATTAAACAAGTTGATCTTTGTTGCATTAGAAATATAGATTATTATATAACTGGCAGATAGGAAACAAACGGCCGTACGTAGATAAATGGATAGATTGCTTTTTGCCAAAGTACAACTATGTACATAAGTATTAGTAATTTTTTGGGGCCGCCATAAGAGGCTCGCCAAGGGAAATTAAGGAGTTCTCCCTACTACCTGTTCTGTGTATTAAACACTCATATTTAATATACAGAAGTTGTGTAGTGAAAGTGTTTTAGGAAAATGCATAAAATAATAGACGTGATGGTATAAAAATCTAAAGATAAACATGATTGTAATGGAATTAATTCTTATTGCTCACTTTACACAAATCATTGAGTCTAGCTAGATAAAATTAGGTATCTACCTACCTACCTACCTACCTACCTACCTACAAGTATTTGTTTAAGCTCTAGGTTATAATATTATAACTAGGTTTTGTAAATGCCCGCAACACGAATCCTGTCGTGGTCTGGCGTGCTGTTGGAATGCATCAAGGTCACTTCGAATTGACCTCAGCCGTCACCTCGGGGTCCACATTCATTAAGCATACCATATTATATGCCAATTAAGGATTTCAATATGATACGACAAAGTTAACTTTTTAATAGTGACTGAGCTTACAAATATCCTTTGCTGGTTATGACGTTTTCTGGGTTTCGGTTGCCAGATACTGTTTTTATATGTATTTTGATGTTTTTAGTAGAATATAATTGATCAAGATAATTGTCCTTCCATGCCGGTTTCGTCTACAGCGACTGTTTTATGACTACTGGCATCTATCACAGGATCACCTGTATCTGGCTCTTTATTATGACCCTATTTAAATTAAGTAGTTACAACTATAAAAAGTATATGTGATCAGTGTCATCTACTGATCTGGATTTCAAGTCAGACGCCAGACACATTATCGAGCCAGACTCCTTGTCGTTACCTAAGTATTACAATACTACAAATAAAATAAATAACCTTCAAGAATAGTAATACAATCAAAGTCTAATAGCATAATAAGCGGTTAAAACTTAAGTTAAATATTTGAAAAAATATAATTGACCTATTAAATCTATACACTTAAAACGATTGCTAATTTTTTATAATCTGTTTATGTATCTAGCTACCTGTTTTTTATAATTTGTAATAAGTATAAAAAACTTGGACCATTTTAATGTACGGTCGATAGGTACATTACAAGCTATTTATTTTTTACAAATTAATGCCCAATTACTAACACAATTAGCCTGACTGTCTCATTGACAGAGTGCGAGCAAGGGGTTTCGGGTTTCCAGGTCGGGCAAAGTTCGCAGGGTTTTAAAAGAAAATTTCAGTAGTAGCTCGAAGTCTGCAATATTGAGCCCTTTATATGGCAATAGGCTCCACCCTATTACATGGGACTCATAACATAAATAGTGAAAAGTGGGTATTACATTGTACAGTGGCATTAAATGCTTAAATGTGCACTTCGGCCTACCCCTTCGGAGATAAAAAAGGGCGTGACGTTATGTTATATTATGACACAATTAGTAATTTGCGACATTCTCATTTCTTAAGTGGAAATAAACAATGATAAAATAAACAAAAATACCTAATGATGTTACGCAAAAATGTAAACTTAGCATTTTACCCAGACAAAGAAGAGACAGAAAAGTTTTTTCGCCATTCACTACAGCCGGCACCACCTCAATACATTCTTGTATCACGGAAGCTGTCAAGACATGACAAAGCGCGTTCACAATATCCTAAACTTCGCGGCAATTTTACAAACACTAGCATATCAAATTATGTAGCCTTGGAATTCTATTCATAAATAGGATATAGTTTTGTAAGGGTTAATTAAAAGATTTTTACTAAATAAAGCAAATATCTTTCAAATCACAGTTGTTGCTTCATGGTTAGAATGCCGCCAATCATTGTGCGGCTTCCTGTTATTTATTATTGGAACAAAGAACGGGGAAGAAATATCTTATTATGTTCAGAAAATATATAAAATTCGTTACTAACTAATTTTTTATGGGTATTTTTATATTTTTTTTAAACGTTGCCCCACACTAATATTTTCTCCTGTGTCGCGGGTGCGTTTACAAACATACATTCACATACACATGACACCCAGACCCGGAACAACAATTTGTAGATCACACAAAGAGTTGTCCCGTGCGGGAATCGAACCCGCGGCACGTTGCACGCAGCCATCATTGTGCAGTCATCATATTTATAAATAGTTTGCGGTTTTTATCCAATAAGGATATGTCAACCGTATCGTATTTTATTATGGGACAAGCCAATAAACGAGCAGACGGTATATCACCTGATGGTAAGCAATCGGCGCTGCCCATGGACACCCGTAACACCAGAGGCGTTACAATTGCGTTACCGGCCTATTGGAGATGAGGACTTTGAGGATTGTTTAGGATTCAGGGATTTAGGGAGATTAGGGAGGGTTGGGCCTTCAGTAACCTCATTCACACGACGACCGCAACACAGCGGAGGCATTGTTTCACGGCGGTTTTCTGTTTGGCCGTGGTATCACTCCAGCCGGCCCATTCGTGCCGAAGCATGACTCTCCCACACTTAATTTTCTAACTCATTTCAAGTGTGCCTCGTTAGTGGTGCAGTGATTGCTAACCCTGTAAGCTCGCCAAGTAAGGAGCAAGGAGTCAAGTTAAATAAGAATATTACAGTTATGGGGGAAGCCTATATATAGGATATAAAGATGATGATTATTTAAGAAACGTAGAATGCTATGTAACTTATCATTTATTTACTGTAGAAGATTAAAAGAAGTTTTATAGTACTGACGTAACTGCAGAGTACATATTCACAGTAACTTGGTGTATTGGCGTCGCCGAAACTCGTAAAATAATGGAAGCGTAGGCATGTCGAATGACTGCACGCGTATTAATAGAGATAAGGCTACAACGGCTACAACTAAAGGCTAGGATCGAATACATTCTAGGAAAAGTGTTCTGATACAATCAGTACCTATTTATAGTAAATTCCGGTTATTAAACTGACAATGGATTATTGCTTTTTATATGTATTTTTTTGTATATAAAATATTGCATAATGTCTGTTTTTTAGCTAGATTAGGAAGCAGTTCATTACTCTCTGAGTGTTCTTTAGAGTGGTAGGCAAAGGTGCACATTGCGGCACTTAATGCCACTGTACAATGTTACACCCACTTTTCACTATTTATGTTATGAGTCTCATGTTATAGGGTGAGCCTATTGCCTTATACCGGGCCAAATTCCAGACTCCGTGCCACCACTGAGATTGTATTTAAAAACCCAATAGTATCTAGTTTTTCCAACCCGGGAATCGAACCCCTTGCCCGGCAGTCGCACTTGCGACCAATGAGGCAGTCAGTAGAGTATCTTCTTATATTAGCCGCACACAATATAGCAGGTCCTATGTGGTGGACTTGTCTAGAATTAAAATATTGAAGCAAAAATGGTAATTACCTGTTCCTCCCTCATCTTGCAGAAGAGCGTCTGCTTCTGCGTCTCGTCCAGCTCGGCCAGGATCTCGGGGTCCACCCACATGTCGCGCAGGATCTGCTGCAACATCGTGCCGGCCCTAGGGACAATACAAACAAATCTGTATAAACCCTGGGGCTCTCACAACATGAAAGATCACAGTAAAATTAGAATAGACTACTTTATGATCAAGTCTTCTCCCGCCCGAGTGAGACGAGAGGGAGTGTCCGACTCTTACCGACTAAAAACCACCCCGTTCCGACTCCTACTCTTCGAGCCGGAGCCTCGATCATGGAAACGATCCTACTGATCGTTTCTTCAGTTTGCTTCGTAACTTTAACTGGTAATAAATACCAGAATTATTCCATTTGTTCTGAAGAAGTAACCAGAAGTTCACTTATTGTACAACATAACCAAATATCATTTTAATTTTTAATATCATTTAAATCTATGGACAGCATTTAAGTTATTAACATTGAAAACCCAAAATACTACGAGCAATCTCCAGATCGAAACAGATTAAGACACCTCTTGCCCGGTCACATTGTCTTCGTGATTTAATAATTGTCCCACCAATTTGTCACACAATTTATTGAGCATTAAGTATAGTATTTACAAGGGCGATCAGAACGTGTACATTACTTAAATTGAGCAATTGCCAATTGGCAACATTTCACGACTGGCACGTTTGGCAATGGCACCCATGAACTCACTGTCATTAGTGATGACACGACGAAAGAAAGTGCAACATGACGATGACTGTGACCGCAATTATGAGAGCTTTCTCCTTGTTATAATGATCATATTTGTACTTCTGTGTTGTACTTTATTTTATAATAATATTCTTTAAATAATCATAAAGTCAAAGTTATTCATATTTAAGTGATTACAGAAGGAACATTTTATAGCGTTTTCATTGAACTTTTTAAATAATGCCTAGCAACGAAAGCGCGACCCAACTTTGTCGATGTTTACAAAACAAATTACAAAGCGTAAAACTTTTCTGATATTAGAACAATGGGGTAGACGACTAATTTTTATTTTAATGTCCGTCTGGTAGATTATTTAAAAACATTAGACACGTATTTTTTATTTTCTTACGGAAACGAATAGTTTCGAAGATATATTGATTTGAAATGTCGCGTGACGTCACTTCTCAGTACATTTTATACTAAGAAATGACGTTTTAGCCCCCACTCCTAAACTTTGATTCGTTTTATCTAAGTATTGTTTTATTATACAACAAAATAAAAACATACGTGTCTAATATTTTTTTATTACCTAAGTTACGGACTAATTATATTTTTAATTTTCATACCCTGTCATCATCCCCATTTTTAAACGAGTTTTAGATTGATATATGATTAAATCATTTTCAATAACAAACATTACCTTTGATCTCAAACCATGAAAGACAACATAAAAATCTAACTTCACCTACAAACAAAAGATCAAAACTACATCTAAAATCAGTCATAAAGTTACAACTGACAGTGAAAGCTAGTTGGTACTAATTACTGAGTTTCCTTCGAGTCCCGAGTGAGTGGACAAGTTGATACCATACAATGTACATCAACGCCAATGGCAACCTGCTTCCGTATGTCAATGTTATAGAACTTGTTGACCTTTTACTAGACATATTTGTGCAAATATATGTATGTACGTAGTTGTTACTTGAAGCTCCTAGTTGTTTGTAGATTGATTTAAAGACATTGTTAGGTGAAACAGTTTAATTAATTAATCGTGTAATATATTGTATTGAGTGCTATAATGTATCGTTATGAATGTAATACAAGAAAGTAGGTGCTTAAACATAGACTAATTAAAGTTACTTATGTTTGAGCGTTCGATTTCATAATATCGAAATTGCTACGTTAGGCTCATAACCCGATGGGAAATCTGAGAAATCTGATGTGACTTAACTTACTATTTGCACAGTCAAAGTCAAAATCATTTATTTCAATGGCACTTTTGAACGTTAAAACAAAATATAAAAAAAAAACAAATGTGAGTCCATCGGTCAGTTTTCTAGTGAAGCTATTTGCTCGTTCCTCAGCGTGTTCCTATGGAGAAGAACGAGCAAGAACTTCCATAGGTTGCTCTTTTTCAATCAGATTCACTGTTATATAGGTACAGTTTAAAACTCTCAGTTGACAAAGACGGGTAATGTAAAAACTAACGAAATGAAGAGGCCCCTTACCCAACAAGAGATTAAAACCTCAACAGCCCTAATTAAACCTACAACAACTACGTCAAAATATTAGGAAAATTCCACAGTTAAATTCTATTACAAAACCTTTGTTTGAACAAGACAGAACTATTATTTTATTTATTTATTAAACTTTATTGCACATACAGTGTAATTGGCGGACTTAATGCCGTAGGCATTATCTGACAGTCGACCATTGGGTGGTGCAGAATGTTAAAGCGGTAGGTGCAAAATTGTAAAAAGAAAGTATGAAGTAGTAGATAACGAAGTTAAGGTATAAAATATTAAAGAGGGAAGATATGATAGTTATAGTCGATAATACATAACTAAGGGTATAGGGACTTAAAATGAATTATATAATAAATATATATCCCAAATATGCATACATATAATATGATATAATTACTATATAATACATAAATATATAAATAAATGCAATACATAGACTACATATTACCACTGTTTTGAGTTTGCCACTTTTTATAAATGTGTTCCCGAACCTTAAATTTAAATGAACAGCGATTATTTGCCATTCTGATTTCCTTGGGCAGCGCATTCCACAGAGAGACAGATTGAACGAAAAAGGAGGAGTGAAGATAGTCAGTGCGGTGAGTGGGACATTGAAGTTGACGGTTATTAGATGAGCGAAGGTATTTAGAATGGTTTGCGCATGTATATTGGAAGTAGGAAGCTAGATAAACAGGTGAAGAAGGAGAGTCGAGAAAAGAAAATAAAGTAGTTAACGCCCTTTGTTGCCTGCGCAGGCGTATGGGCAGCCATTTTAATTGCAACCGATGTGCAGAAACATGATCATATTTACGTAAATTGAAAACGAATCGAATGCAGTTATTTAGAAGACGGTCAATTTTGTTGAGTAGATCTGCATTCAGGTCGTAGTAACACACATCAGCATAATCGATGATAGGAAAAATCAGGGCCTGCACCAGCCGTGCCTTGGTAGTAGACGGAAGGAAGTTTCTAAGGCGGTACAAGCCTCGCAACGACCCAGTTACCTTCTGGCATACACTAGTGACCTGTGCACGCCAGCTCAATGTGTTGTCAATATGTAAGCCAAGATCCTTCACATCCTCACTAAACGGGATCGCCACATTATTGTACGAGACAGGCTGCAGAGATGCGACACTGACTGTTTTCCAGGTACGTGTGCTTCCAATGATTATGGCTTGACATTTGTTTGGATTTACTTCTATGCCGAACCTTTAACGTGGCACCTTATCGTGTACTGTTTGCATAGATTAATCTACGTGTAACATAGGATCATTTATGTATGCATGAACTAGTATTTAATTAGGAACCTAAAATAATTTCATTGATAAAGGGAGGCCCCCTTTATCAATGAACTACAATGGGGATGGAAACCCAATAAACCAATAAATAATAAAATTCTAATTACGAAATGCAAACTTTATTGATTCATCTAAATACAAATAAAATCCAGCGAAATCCTTCGAAGTTTGAATTTAACCGCCAAATTACAAAGCATAGAGTGTTTATTTATTTTTTTAATGCCAGTAAGCCGTTTTTAACCACATGGTATTTGAGTATAAATGTCAAGTAGTGGATTTAAGAGTTTTGTTGTGGTTTTCCCCTACAATAGCCGGTCACGAGCCCATATTTTTATCTTATTGTACATCTTAATGATGCAAAAAAATTTTGTTTAAAGAACTCTTGGCTTACGTGGATTTGTCTTCTAAACAAAAGATGTTTAACTAAGTAGAACATTAAATTTTTGATTCTATCTATCATCGTGATTTTTATTAGTCAGATAACTGAATCAGCATTTCTGATTTAAATGTATCTAGTCTAGTATTTACCTATTCTACATTTAGCTAAAAAGTACTTCAAAGTATGCAAAAAAATAAAAATTCATGGAGGAATCGACACAAAAACCCGTTGTTCCTTTTATCAGGCTCCTCGGCATCGAGAACAAAGAGTGAATATTGCAAAGGCGATCGTGTGCTGGCGCAGACGCCGCATATCAATCGCTATCCACGCGCGACATGCATTATGTATGCGCCTGTACACTGTAGATACACTTCGCAATGGACAGAAGGTTCACTGCTCCTCATTAATCATTGGAATCATATTTCATGTGTAGTAAAACTCCATTCGAAGCAATTTTACCAGATTGAAATTCTCCAAGTTATGGTTAATGTACCATTTTGTATGTCATCTCTCGACTAACATTGGAAGCTATAGATCTGCTTGTATATGCATATATCACTATACTTATAATATTCATATTCAAGTTCGCTACTCTTACATGAGACTAATTAAACTGGAGCATACTTTAAAATATAAATAAGTCTTTTATCGTTATAATACTCAGCCTCTTTCCTTTTTTATGTGCTTCGTCACCATTAGGCCTTTAATCTCATCGTGCGAGCACAGGGTTTAATCTCACCGTGCGACGAAATCGTTCATTCGTACGATGGTAAACTAAATAGGACGACAGTCGCGTGCAGACAGACAGTGCAGCGCGACAGTCGCCGCGTCGCAGGTCGCGAAATGCTGCTCATGAATATGCCTCTAGCATGGCTTGAAACAAGTCGAGTTCCTCGTCAAATAATTACGTGAGTAAGCCGAAAACATAATATAATTTATTTAAATAGGACGACGTATTGGGTCTCACATTTCTGCGGTCTTCTCTATTGTGACTTTCATACTATGTATATTAGAATGTTGTGTATGTTTCATGCGACAAGCAACCTTTTTCAGAACAAAATATGGCCTATTATTTTCTGCAAAAGGACTCCGGTTGCCAGCGATACGATTGTTAGGTACTAATCGCGTTGCCTGGCAACGGATAAACACATCAGAATTAAAAAAATGGTCAGAGGCCTTAGTATGAGTTTGTTTTACGTTTAAAA